ATGAACTGTAGTTAAGCTAAATTAATCTCTGGCAAGTCTCGTTTAAATCGGTTCAGAGTTAGATGTAGCTTCTAAATATATATTTTCGTCAGATTTTACACAAAATTGACACACAATTTTGCACAACGTACTGAAGTTAGTACAACCTAGAAGATAGATATAAATTATACACCATACTCCAAGGTGGGTCCGATTGGCACAACATTTTGCAGTTTTTTTTTAAATCGGTTCAGATTTAGATAAAGCCTCTAGATATAGTTTCGTCCGATTTTAGTTAAATGGTACACAAAAGTCCCAATGTTAGGCCGATTGACATAACATATTGCACAACATACTGAAGTTAATATAACCTAACATGTGGAACGTTTTGTTGATATCGGTTCAAATTTGGATAGAGCTACCATATATATTTTTTCACGATTTTAACCCTACGGTCAATAATTAGTTATTTTTTTATTGGGATCTTACTTAGGTGTTCCTCAAACCCTCTGCAAATTTTTGTGGCTCTAGACAACGTGGGGCCATCAGGGCGACTCGTGGAAGTCAGAAACTACCCTGGTGTTCCCTTGGTATACAGGGACAAAAACAATGATGAATGATGAACTTTACTGCAGAACCTTCCTGGCCGTTGATCCTGGTTTGGCCATCGTTTGCGGTGCTTCGGCGATCTTTGACCATGCTCGTTTTCGCACGGGTGTATGAAATGAATTGAATGAAAAGGCTTCTTTCTATGCCGACATTGTTATGTCGATAAGTCACAAACGCAATAAATAATTGAATATATCCTCCATACAATGGTGGAGGGTATAATGTCATGTGTCAAGTTTAATTTATATTGAATCAGATAAGATAATTTATAACAATAAGATATTAGGATATTGTAGGATAGTAGATTATTATATATGTAGTAGTCGACCTCGTCCAACTTTGTTCATTTCATTACCGTCTTCGGTATATAATTTACCAATACCAATGAAATAATTAAACAATTTAATTCTTTGTAATTTGGTATTTAATTCATTAACGACTTACATACATAGATAAAAGTGAAATTACAGAATGCCAAACGTTTGCTTAATTATTTTTATATCGTTACCAAGCCATGCGGAATTGTGAAATGTAATTAGATAGGGATTATTCAAATTTATTTCATCATTTCGTATTCATTGTGATGTTAGCTTTGTGCCTCCTACACTACTACAAATTACTACACATAAGCGTAGCCTTAAATTATTTTGATGATGATGATGAGAATAAAGTTCATGTCCTTGAACATAACAGAAGTGAATAAGAATAACAATTAAAATCTTGGTAAATCCCATCACTGAGTATATTTCTATTGGTATTTGTCGTTGTTGTTTTTTTTTCTAATTTATTTCCCACATTCTCTGGAAGCTTAAGACATTTTACTGTGTATTAATTACAGTTAAAATAGAAAATACCCCCAAAAGCCCAAAGCTTCACAGTTTTTACATCCTGTTTGTCTCTAATCATGAATAATCAAGCAAAGAAAAATAGAAAAAAATATCTGAACGAGTGTGAAATAAAAATCCGTTTTCTTTGCCAACATTCCACCATGTTAAAGGAATGAATGTACGAATGAGTGAAATGAAATGGTAATGAAAAATAAATTGAAACTGTAAGTGAAACTAAAAATGTAATGCCAGATGAGATAGAGAACCCGGCAGCCAGGGAGGCAGTCAGGTATTATCCTTATCGTATAATTAAACGTACGTACGAGTAGAGTACTTTTCCAGACATTTGAACACTTTCGTTTGGTTTATTTCACTTTAAGACCGCACTTAAATCATTAGTAACAGTTTTAAATCCTGTCGCTTTGGGTATTTGCTGTTAGTTAGGGAGAGAAGATGTAAAGGCGGAGAGAGGAAGCGGATGCAAAAGTGTTATGCGCCACCATTGTCTCCTCTTTGTGTAATACTGGTTATTACATGGACCTTGGTGATGGCGTATAATTTCACACCAATTTCATTCAAGGTTATTTGGGTTATTTTATCTTTGTAATGATCATTGTTGACTGTGGTTTCATATGTCAATATAATTGAAATAAGTGACTACAGGATCATAAAAGCACTGAGGATGGGTTGGAATTTTGTTGATAGGGTAGTACGAGTATTGGTGCGTAAACATAAAACAAGTGGGTGTTTAGAAAAGGAAAGGTGGGTTTTTGGAAATTTTGGTACAGTATTTAGTACCACGAGGAAGGAGTTAGATTCGAAAATATGTTATTTTGCTTAAAGTAAAAGTATAGGAGCCAACGGTATTTTCCATTTGAGTGGTTGTTTTTTTATCATAAACAAACTATTTATGGTTTGACGTACGTAAGTGATTCTGTGTATATTCTCTATCTCGTTTCCTTTTGCCTGAGAAAACACTGCACCATAATAGGGCTATACCAAAATGTACACTGGTATATCCTACTTTTAATACCAAACATCCTAGGAGTGTATGTGAAAAATATTTAAAGTATGTTTTAAATGCTGAGAGCTCGATCGTGACTTCAATATACGGGAATGGGTAAATCTACATGGGATTTATTTGTAATGAAGATGCTAAATATTTTGGGATCTCCGAATAATATATTGAGGTATTGCAAACGCTATGACAACATCTTACTTTGGATGATATAAAAATATGTTGGCAGTTCTTTAAAAACTGTTAATAATATGATCATAGGTGGCAAATCTTTAAACTATTTGTAAGCATAGGAAAGAAATAGCAATCCAACGTGCGAGTCTTCGAAGACGAGACAACCTAAACAAAGGTGTGTTTAATACTCTTCCCCAGACTATGGTACAGGGTATTATGTCTTTCTGCATATGTTTGTAACAGGCAAAAGCAAATGAGATAGACACAGGGCTCCTTTTGCGAATATGCATAGAATCACTTTCTGAGTCGATTTACGCATGTCCGTCTGTCCGTCCATGTATTTTTGTGAACAAAGTACAGGTCGAATTTATGATACGATTTATAAGAAATTTGGCATAGGTCACTTATTTGGGCCAAGGACGAACCCTATTGAAATTGGGAAAAATCGGTTCAGATTTAGATACAGCACCCATATATATTTTCGTCCGATTTAATGTAAATGGTGCACCAAAGTCCCTGTATATATCTCGAGTTGCACGAAATTTGGCACAGGGTAATGAATTAGGTCTACAATGTTGTGTGTTAAGTTTCCAGAAAATCGGCTCAAATTTAGATATAGCCCCCATATATATTTTCGTCCGATTTGATTTAAATGATGCACCAAGCCCCTATATATCTTTCGATTTGCACGAAATTTGGCAGTGCGTAATGAATTAGATCTAGAATGATGTATATTAAGTTTCCTGAAAATCGGTTTAGATTTAGATATAGCTCGATTTGCACGAAATTTGTTTTTTTGTAATCTGCACTTTGAATCATTTGGTCAAGCAAAACAGGTCGTGTGGGGAAGACCTGGGCCTTTTTGCTTTCAAGCATCATCAATTTTTTATACCCTTCGCCACACTGTAGTACCGGGTATTATGCCTTTGTTCAAATGTTTGTAACAGCAAAAGGAATCAAGATAGACCCATGTTTTTTTTCTTTTTTTTTGAGAATATACATAGAATCACTTTCTGAGTCGATTTAAGGTCTCATTTGTGACCCGATGTGGATGAAATTTGCCACGAACCCTATTGAAAATGGAGAAAATCTGTTCCGATTTAGATATAGCTCCCATACAAAGTTTTGGTCGATTTTATGTAAATGGTGCACCAAACTCCAAATTATGGCCCGATCAGGTCCACACTTATATATGCGAAGTTTTGTTGGAATCGGTGCAGATTTAGACGAGCTTTCATATATAGTTTAGTACGAAATAAGTAAATGGTGCATCAAACTCCAAAAAAATTGTCCGATTGAGCCACGATTCAGTCCACTTTTTTGTGTGCGAAGTTTTGTTGAAGTCGGTTCAGATTCAGATATAAGTCCCATTTATAGCTTCGTCCGATGTTATGTAAATATTTGTCCAATTGAGGCAACATTTTGAACATGGTACTGATTTAGATCCAGATCGGTGTATACGAAGTTTTGCTGAAATCTATTAAGATTTATATATAGCTCCCATATATAGTTTCTTCCGATTTTATGTAAATGGGGCACCAAACTCCCAAAAATGTGTCCGATTGAGACAAAAATTTGCAGCGCGTATAGAAATTACTGTAGGTTGACGTCCGTGAAGTTTTATTGAAATCGATTCAGATTTAGATATAGTTCCTATATATTTTTTCGTTCGACTTTAGCACCATATTATTGAGCACCATACTATCAATATTTGTCCGATCGGGACAAATTTTGCACAGAGTACTGAATTAGGTCCTGATTGATGTATGCGAATGAGGCTATGCTTGTTCTACATTCACGTAATCTAGCAGCGGGTATGGAATTTAGTCTAGAATGCTTTTTTTAAGTTTTTTAAATTGGTTCAGATTTAAATATATCTCACATATATACTTAAGTCCCATTTTATGTTGTTGAAATCGGTTCACATGTAGATATAGTTCCCACATATATTTTTCTGATTTTATGCAAATGATGCAAGTGGAGCAGCCTATTTCGTTTATTATGAAATTTTGCATAGTATATTGGATTGAAGTCGTTTCAGGTTTAGATATAGCATCTTGTATATACCCAAAATGTTGAAGGGTACTTTATACTATGAACTAACGTATTTGACCACTATTAAATTAATATTAATTATTATTAAATTAATATTACTTTCCCGCATTATTCTGCAATAATTCTAAGAGTTTATTAAAACAATTACATAAAAAGGTTTCCTCTAGAAACCACTGTTAAGATTTGCATTTATTTTAGAAAATTATAATTCCAACGTTTCTCTGCTCATTCTTCCTTTGCTCTTGAAATCCCGTGGTTAACTTTTTCTGTAAGCTAGCCTCCTTTGTTCGTGGCTAACCTTAGAAAAAACACAAAAACACATTTGTTAAGCTACTAAAATGACATTGGTGTTGAGCTGGCTGGCTAGTTGGCTGAATGGCCGCCTGGCAGGTTGGTTGATTGGTGGTATTTCGGCGACATCTTTTCTATGGCAATTTGCAAAAGTTTTGCCTTGCCGGTATATTATTTGCCTTTGTAATTTCTTCTTTGGTCATTTCGTTTTTCTTTCATTTGCAGCATTATTTATATTAGCCTCTCTGTGTGTGTTTTTTCTTCCTTTCTCTGTGATGAAATAAATTTATCAGCACCAAGTTTCTCATGGCAATATTTTGTTCAACGTTTATTTTTATCTCTATTTTTGCAGACGGTCATACGGAAGCTAATGTACAGTTGATAGTGCCGCGCTATGTTGAACGTGGTACCAGTGCGACACTGGAGTGCCTACATGATGTGGATCCCAGCGTACTGTTTAAGGTAATAATTATATAGTTTATCTACTAGCCAAAACTGCACCTCAGAACACGATACGAATGTCATCCCCTAACCACTCCCTCCCTCCCGTTCTTGATTATATGTACGTAGTAAACGTGTCCTTGCATAAACAACATCGGCTCACGGCCTGTGGATGCTTTCACTTTTATTACATTACAATGAATTTATGGTGGACGAATTTTATGTTGGCTGTTTATTGTGTCTTCTTCTGCTGGTCGGCCAGTGCCTATGGCAGTTACACTTTCTTTGCCTTATTTCTTTTTTGGTTTATTTTCTTTTCCAAGGACTGTATTTTTTGTTTGAAATTTTATTTAAATAGTAAAAACGAAAAAAAAAACAACGGTATATAAAAAAGTTACACATAAAATTGTTAAGTATATCTATTTAGTCGTCCACCAGCTCTAAGGATAATACGGTTAATGTATAATTTGTATTTTTCATGAGGTATTATGGTAGTCTTTTTTGGTAATTATTAAAAACGACCGTAGCGGCAATGCAAGAAGGTCATTCATTGTTACGGCTCTAATTGAATTGAAATAACCTCATTTGAATTAAGATTAATGTCAGGGCGAAAGGGGAGAAGTTGAACGGAAAAGTAACAACACAAAAGAGCATAAAAAATTACCGCACATTTCCGGTAATATAAAATCTATATAAAGAAACAGCAGTAAAGTGTATCAATGTATATCAGGTATGGTGTTAATGAGCTATATATATGGCTGAAGGAGTATACATAAACAAATGTGCGTTAAATAATTATAAGGGTAAAGGGGAGAATTAACGGAAGACATTATTTAATTTAATATTAACACAGATGGTTATAATTAAGATGTAGTCATTGTAATTCTATTTCATTGTTGGACGGGACCTGTAGATAGAATAGACATAGCATCTTTGGGGGACCATTAAAATGAAACAACCCACACACATACCATTCTGAAATTTATGAAAAATTGGATGTCACTCATTTGTATGAAATCGAGTAAGATATCTAGGGTGCCTTATATAAATGGACGTATTTGAGCAACCGTATGCTGCAGCACAGTGCGCTACCCAAAGTGTACCTCGACACAAAATCTAATACACGTTATTTTAGGTTCCATTTGTTACGTTGTCCACTAATTCGTCCTTATCGGAAAAACGTTAATTATTTTGTACAACATTAGGTGACTGGGCCGACTTTATAATACCCTTCACCACTTTACATATATTCTACATATGTATCCTAACAGACGTCGTGTTTTTGTTATATATCTATATCTGAACCGATTCCAGGGAAACTTGCCAGAGACTAATTTATATTACTTCAGTACGTTGTGTCAATCGGCCTAGCTATGGAAATTTTCACGAAGCTTAGCAACATCATTCTAGACTTAACACTAGAACGCCGAAGGCGGTCATTTTGACCGCTTTCCAATTTCAAGTACAAAAGCAACTGTGCATTTATGAGGTACAAAAAGTCACCATATTTTAAAAAAAAGTGTCATTAAATGCACAGTTGCTTTTGTACTTGAAATTGGAAAGCGGTCAAAATGACCGCCTTCGGCGTTCTAGTGTTAATTCAGTACGCTATACCCAATTTCGTGCAAATCGAAAGATATATGGGGACATTGGTACACAAATTACCTAAAATCGGATGAAAATATATATAGGACCTATATCTAAATCTGAACTTAATTCAGTACGCTATGCCAAAATTCGTGCAACTCAAAAGATTTCCAGGTACTTTAGTGGACTATTTTCCCAAAATCGGGCAAATCTATATATGGGAGCTATATCAAAATCTGAACCGATTTTCACAAAACTTTGCACACATCATTCTAGACTTAGTTCAATACGCTTTGCCAAATTTCGTGTAAATCGAAAGATATATAGGGACTTTGGTACACCATTTACCTTAAATCGGACGAAGATATATATGGGAGCTATATCTAAATGTGAACCGATTTTCACGAAACTTAATATACAACATTCTAGACCTTGTTCATTACGATGTGCCAAATTTCGTGCAAATCAAAAGATATATATGGAAATTTGAAATTTGGTATAGCCTACTGAATTAGGTCTAAAATGATATGTGCCAAGTTTCGTGAAAATCGGTTCAGATTTATATATAGCTCCCATATATATTTTCGCCCGATTTTAGGTAAATAGTGCACGAAAATCCCTGAAAATCATTTGATTTACACGAATTTTGGCACAGCGTATTGAATTAAGTCTAGAATGACGTGTGCTGAGTTTCGTGAAAATCGGTTCAGATTTAGATATAGCTCCCATATATAGTTTCGCCCGAGTTAAGGTAAATGGCGTACCAAAGTCCCTATATATCTTTAGATTTGCACGAAATTTGGTATAGCCTACTGAATAAGGTCTAGAATGATGTTCGTTAAGCTTCGTGAAAATCGGTTCAGATTTAGATATAGCTCCCATATATATTTTCGTCCGATTTCAGGTAAATGGTGTACCAAAGTCCCTATATATCCATCGATTTGCACGAAATTTTGAATATCGTACTTAATGAAGTCTAGAACGATGTGTGCTAAATTTCCCTATATATATTTTTCGATTTGCACGAAATTTGGTATAGCCTACTGAATTAGGTCTAGAATGATGTGTGCTAAGTTTCGTGAAAATCGGTTCAGATTTATATATAGCTCCCATATATAGTTTCGCCCGATTTTAGGTAAATGGTGCACCAAAGTCCCTGAAAACCATTGGATTTGCATGAATTTTGGCATAGCGTATTGAATTAAGTCTGGAATGACGTGTGCTAAGTTTCGTGAAAATCGGTTCAGATTTAGATATAGCTCCCATTTATATTTTCGTCCGATTTCAGGTAAATGGTGTACCAAAGCCCCTATATATCCATCGATTTGCACGGATTTTGGAATAGCGTACCTAATTAAGTCTAGAACGATGTGTGCTAAATTTGGTGAAAATCGATACAGCTTTAGATATAGCTCCCAAAGTCCCTATATATGTTTCGATTTGCACGAAATTTGGTATAGAGTACTGACTTAGGTCAAGAATGATGTGTGCTTAGTTTCGTGAAAATCGGTATATATCCATCGATTTACAAATTTTGAATATATAGTTAATGATTTTAGGTAAATGTGCACCAAAGTCCCTGAAAATAATTAGATTTGTTCGAATTGTGGCATAGCGTATTGAATTAAGTCTACAATGATGTGTGCTAAGTTTCGTGAAAATCGGTTCAGATTTAGATATAGCTTCCATACATAGTTTCGTCCGATTTTAGGTAAATGATGCACCAAAGTCTCTAAAAATCATTCGATTTGCACGAATTTTGGCATAGCGTATTTTCGTCAGATTTTAAGTAAATTGTGCACTAAGGTTCCAAAGCTAGGCCGATTGACACAACGTATTGAAATTAATATAAATTAATCTCTGGCAAGTTTGCTTCAAATCGTTTCAGATATAGACATCTCGTATTGAGATTAAATTTTAAACAGTGCAGCGTGTGTCAAGTTTGCTTTGAAACGATTTACACAAACCTGTCCCACTGTGCTCAAACGACTCTAAACTTGCCCAAATGAAATGAAATTTAGCATAGGTTCCAGAAATACATAAAAATCACATATTTAAGTCTTCAATTTCATGTGTGCTAAATTTGGTGAAAATCGATAATAAAATCACCACAGTGTGGTGAAGGCTATAAATATCGTGCTAATAGAACAGGATTTTGGGTGCACCATTTACATAAAATGAGACTAATATATTTGTGAGCTATATTAAAATCGGAACATATTTCAACAAAACTTCGCATACATGAATTTGGACCTATTTTAGGGCGTTTTTTCTAAACTGGGCAAACCTTGGCAGTTTGTTGCACAATTTACATGGAATCGGAGGAAACTATATATGGGAGCTATATCTAGATCTGAATCGATTTTAATAAAACTTGACACACATCAATCTGGACCTAATTCAGTACTCTATGCAAAATTATGTTTCAATCGGTCAAATATTGGCAGTATGGTGCTCTATGTACATAAAATTGGACGAAACTATATGTGGGAGCTATATACAAATTTGAACCGATTTCAACAGAACTTCGCATACATTGATTGGGACCTATTTCAGTACGCTGTATATATATATATATAACCATGGGTCTACCTCGAATCCTTTTGCCTGTTACAAACATACCACAGAGTAATGAAGGGTATAATAAGTGATGTAGGGAATCATATAAGCGACACCCTCTGTCTTTAATCCTCCCCCCACTGGTCGTACAAATAATAGTTAACCACATTGTGAGACCTTTCTATGAATGTGAACGTAGAGGTGTTTCTGTATAGTTTCATTGCCACACTTCATCATTTTCCAATTCAAGCAAACTAATTATAGACCTGCACACAATGTATGATATATATTCCAATATTATAAATTATCCAATTAATTATTAACTTATATGCGGTTAATACTAATATCGTACTCTATTATTGCGGTGAATATTTAAATTTGCAGCAATCTTTTGTTTTGCCTCCATAACAACAACTGCTACCACACATGACATTTAACTATGTCCGAACACTTTTCCAATGAATTGAACAATCGATAATTTTGCAATTGATATTTGCAAATAATAGTATTAGTTATTCTCTGACGTGTGAAAATGAATGGCATCAACACTTTAAGCCAATAATGCGGAGGGTAAACAGTCTTTCGTAAATTTTAGAAGGTATTTAAATATTTTGCTAGCCAATAAATGTATTTAGTAGAGCAACACACATACATATGTGTGTGTAGAGTAGAATTTCTACTGCAGAATATTAGTTAATAATTTATTCAATTTATCCATGAACGAACGAACCGAAAAAAACACCAACAACAATGGCATGAACTAATAATACAATAAATCAATATTAAATAAATTTATTCAAATATTTAATTGAATATTAAATGTGAAAATGGAATTAGTCATTTAATCGAGTTGAAAACAAAATAGATTTTAATTT